GACCGGGCCCTCCCAGCTGCCCGCAGGAGCCCCTCCGGGTGGCGTCTCTCGGAGCGCCGCCCCATGTGGGGTAGGGGTGGAGGCGGGGAGACCCACAAAGGGGGCTCCCCTGGACTCACTGGCTAGTGGCACAGGCCAGCCCGGAAGCGAGAGCCTTCCGGGACCCCAATGCCTAAGGCCCGCCTCTGCGAGCGCGGAGGGCGGGAGGGGGCTCTTCGGCCCGGGGACGTCATGGGAGACTTTCTGGAGGCGGCGACACCCGAGCAGTGACTTTAAGAAAGACGGGAAGGGCCCGGCCGGCGTGGTTCAGTAGCCGAGTGTCCACCTATGAACTGGGAGGTCACGGTTCGGTTCCGAGTCGCCCGGGTTGCAGCCAATCAATGACTCTCTCATTATTGATGTTTCTATCACTCTCTCCCTCTTCCTTACCCTCTGAAATCAATAAAAAAATATATATATATATATTTAAAGAGAGAGAGAGCCCTAGCTGGTTTGGCTCAGCGGATAGAGCGTCAGCCTGCGAACTGAAGGGTCCTAGGATCGATTCCGGCCAAGGGCGCATGCCTGGGTTGTGGGCTCCATCCCCAGTAGGGGGCGTGCAAGAGGCAGCCGATCAATGATTCTCTCATCATGGATGTTTCTATCGCTCTCTCACTCTCCCTTCCTCTCTAAAATCAATAAAATATACTTAAAAAATAAAAAAATAAAATGCCAAACTACTAAAAAAACGAGAGAGAGCGAGAGAGAGAGAGAGAGAGAGAGATGGGGAGGGCATTCCAGCCATTGAGACCTACTCCAAGAGCAAAGGCAACCAGGAAAGAAACAGCCTGGGTCTTCAGGGGCCTACAATGAATTCTTCTGAAGCACAAAATGTGAGAGGAGTCCCTGTAAACCAACAACGGTTTTGGTAGGGGAGTGACAAAACAGAAGAGAAACAAAAGAGAGAAAAGAGGCAGCATTGTGCAGTGTCAAGAAAAAAAACTCTGGACCCGATTGACTGGATTAAAAGCCTGGCTCCTGCCACCTGCTAATTGTGTGATGTTGGGCAAGTTACTTACGCTCAGTAAAATGGGATGAATAAAAGGTACCTACCACATAGTACATACCTTCATTGTGATGAATATTAAGTGAGCTAATATTTTTAAAGCAGTTAGTATCTGGCATGTGGTGTCATATGTGTTAGTTATATAAATAAAACAAAGGAGGAGAGAACTGGAGGAGCATGGCCTCATACATGAGAGTGATGAAATGAAGGGTTAACACAGTCAAATATAATTGAGTATTCCATCCAAAAGAATGATGAAAAATGGTCGTTAGCTTTCTCAGTAGGGTATGCAGCCAGATTACATCCCATAGTCTACTCTGTAATTGGATAAGGCCATGCGATTATGTTCTGGCTAATGAAGTATAAGCAGAACTGATGTATGCCACTTCCAGTTCTGGCTCCTAAGATCTTCTGTGAAATTTCTTACATTCTCTCTCTTCCCTGACCTATTTTCGTAGTTATATTGAATTAAGTAGTTAGTGGAGAATTCTGAATGCTGCATGGGATAGAGCTCTCTCTCTCTCCCCCCACAATGGACTATGGTGCTAAGCCACTGAGCTTGGGTATTGTTTGTTATAGCAACTACGATTACTTATCCTGACTAATACAGGGCAAAAGACTTGTTACAGTGTACTGTGCAGGTAAGGGCAGAGGCTGGGAAGTTGGACTATTTTTTGAGAAACTTGTCCAACAAGGGAAAGGTAATGAAGTGATTATCTAGAGGAGAATGCAGAATTGAGGAAACTTTTTTTTTAATTGGCCCTAGCTTCTGTGATACTTCTGAGCTGACCATTCTCTAAGAACCTCGAATAACAAGGATTAGCCCCAAAATCTGGCCTCTGCCCCCCTGTTCTACATAGAGCCTTCTGGGACTATCTAGGCCTGCAGCTCCCCTACCTGGCCTTTCAGAAAGCTTTTCCTGCACACAATATTTAAAAACAAAAAAACCCAATTGTCCTTTGGCCTTGAAGGGGTTCAGAACAGGACTCCCCAAGGTATGTCACTTTGATACGTGAATTATTGTGAACTGAAGGTAATGGAGACCCTGTGGGCTCACGAAAAACTATTACCTCTTCTTTAAAGAATTTGAATTTGGGGCCTTGCTCATAATAAGAGTTATTACCAGAAATAACTTTTCATGGCCTATCTATATGGCAGGGCAAACATCTAATTACTGAACATCTGCTCTATCCTGCAATGACCTTCCTCCCCTCTGAAGCCCCCAGGTGCCTTACCTCATCCTCAGCTCAGAATTCCATATATATCTCATTTTAACTTTCTGTCTCTGAACCTCTCATGGATGTGGAGTCTCTGACTCTCTCATGTTATATGTACATATGTAATTAAATTCCATTATTTTCTCTTGTTAATCTATCTCTTATTAAGCCAGCTTGAAGGACCTAGAAGAGTAGAGGAAAGTTTCTTCCACCCCATAGCCTTAAGAGGGTCTAAGAAGGGAATTAAGTGGTCAGGGGCCACACACACCTCCCCTAAATATCATAGAAGAGATCACACCACTGGGATCTTAAAGGGAAGGGTCTGTATGGGCCCCATCTCAGCCATTCTCCACATCCCCCAAAACCTGACCTCGGGGAGACAGAGAAAGGAGAGGTTTGGTGATAGTCCTGAAGAGATGTTTCTGAAGGGGTCAGGAGTTAGTTGGCATGATCCTGGGAGTGGCACTGAAGCGCTGTGTTCTTGAGAAAATGGGGCTGCCTCTGAAATCCAGTCATGCAAACAACAAAGACACCTGAGAGAGTAGAAAAGCAGATCTTCTATCCCTTTCCCCCTCAACCAGGTGTAGCCAGTGGGACAGGTACTCCCCACCCTCATTTTTTCAGCTCCTGCTTCCTGCCCCCTACCTCGTGGCCTCTTCAGATTTCAGTCAGAGGACCCTGGGTCAGAGATTAGGTAAATGACCAATGACCCAGTTTTTGTGTCTGAGCTGCAAAACATCTGGCTTGCCCTGGTCTGGCTTGGGGGAAGGGGCCTTCCTGCTATTGCCCAGATTCTAGTTCACTATTTTTCTGTCTTGAGTATCACCTAAGTCTCAGAGGCATTTTAGAGCAGTGGGAAGAGACTGGAAATTTGAGTTCAAATCCTAAGTTGGCCACTTGTGCCCTGGGTGACCTTGAAGCCTCTCTTTCCCACTATGAAATGGGAAAAAATCTTCAGCCAATATTTAGATGTTTTTTTTGCTGGCACCCTGTGCAGCAAAAGGTTGCTGGCTCAATTCCCCTCAGGGCACATGCCTGTTAGAGGGAGTTTGGGAGGCAACGAAATTGATGCTGCACTCTCACATCAATGTTTCTCTCTCTCCCTCTTCCTTCCTCTTTCTCTAAAAATCAATAAAAATATTTATAAAAAAAGAAAAGTGCCAGTGAGGAATTAATTTGAATTTTATTCTAATGTTAACCAATTGTTTTGATTCAGGGAAAAGTTGGAGAAGGGAAGGGGTGTGTAAACCTCTCGATCCCACCCAGATGGGGGCTAGAGTTACTGATAGTCCTGTCTTTCTCACATGCTCAGATTTCTTATAGCCCTCTTACCTCACCCACTTCTTTTGCTTTTGATGTGTGCATATGAGAGAGAGAGAGAGAGAGAGAGAGAGAGATGGTTATGTCAACAAAAGAATGTCCAAACCTTTAGAAAAGTTTTGTAAGAGTTTATTTGAGCCAAATAAACTCTTTTGAGGATGTGCCTGGAAGTAAAGTCTAAATGGGTTGAGAAAATGCTCAACAGAATGGCAGTTTTGCTTTCCTTTTAAGCACTTAGAATCAAAGGAGAAATGTAAAGAAGCTACATTAAATCCATTGGTGGTAGATTAAGGAGGCAAGAGAAAGCAAAACAGGGACATCTCCAGGACTGGATAAAAAGCAAAATGAAGAAACACATACTTCTTGTACATTGGTGGGTACAGTATAGCTAATAATTAACATTCACTGTACCTAGAGATGGTATTCCAGGAACAAGATAACAAGGAGGCGTCTGCCGGTCTTGTGTTCTGGGGCCTGTGGTTGTGCCTTCAAGGGGTCTGGAAAAGAAAATCACTCTGACATTTCAAGGTTATGCTATCCTAGATGCGTAAGGACAATGAACAGAGCTCACGGAAGGAAAAGGTTGACCTTTAGCTGTAGGTCTGGGCCATGACTCCCCGCTAGAAACTGCCCAGTTAGGAACTTGTGATCAGACCATCCTGTGTAGTTACTTTCAGTCCCTGACCTTGTCAGGCCTGCCATGTGCTCCTTCCACCCTGGAACTTGCCAGGCTTATTGACTAGCCCCCTTTTCATTCACAGTTACTTAGTCCTATTCCCCCAAACCTGCTTCTGCTGACTGGTGGGGATGAGTGTAGTGTAGCACACACTTCTCCAGGTAATACTTGAGGCCAGGGTTCAGCTGAAGCAGATCACCAACCTCCCCCCTTCCCCTCCAAGTTTGCCTCTCCTCCCCACCACAGCCACTGAGCAGGTAGGTAGGTGAGGTGATTGTGGATCCAGGGTCATACCTTTACTTTGCCCTAGAACAGTGATGGCGAACCTTTTGAGCTCGGCGTGTCAGCATTTTGAAAAACCCTAACTTAACTGGTGCCGTGTCACATATAGAAATTTTTTGATATTTGCAACCATAGTAAAACAAAGACTTATATTTTTGATAGTTATTTTATATATTTAAATGCCATTTAACAAAGAAAAATCAACCAAAAAAATGAGTTCGCGTGTCACCTCTGACACGCGTGTCATAGGTTCGCCATCACTGTCCTAGAATGTAAGCTCCAGGAGGGCAGAGGCCATGCCCGACTTGTGCACACAGGGGCATTCCTTTGCATCACACGCAGCCTGGGTGCCTGGCACAGGGTAGATACTCAGTAAATATTTGCTGAGTGAATGACCAAACGAATGGCTGAAAGCAGTAAAGAAATCTTGGAAGCGTCTGGAGCCGAGGGATCGGCAGTAAGCAGCTTTCACAGAGATTTTTTCCAGGGCACTGACTTTGGCCACGGGAATGATCGAAGTCGCCCCCTACAGCGCTGGGTCGTCCTGAGCCCCGCCCCTCGGTGGCCGGTCGGCCCCTCTGACAGTCACGTGCTGGCGACTGGCCAATCATCGGGGGGCGAGGCGGGGCTGGATTGACCGAGGTGGGTGAAAGGCAGCCGGGCAGACGCGGCAGAAGGTCCCCCACGTTGGCCACATGTCGCGCAGCGGAGCGGGTCCTGGAGCGGGTCCCGAGCGGCGCCAGCAGGCGTCAGAGGCGGACGCCACCGCCCCCTTCCTGGCGAGCGGTAACTTTAGGGCGGCAGGGACGCGCTGGGACGCGGGGCCAAGCCCTCTCCTTCCTTAGGACCTTGTGGTCCGTACCCCAGGGAGGCGCGCCCACCGGGTCAGGCCCGAGTGTCGCGCAGCGGAGCGGGTCCTGGAGCGGGTCCCGAGCGGCGCCAGCAGGCGTCAGAGGCGGACGCCACCGCCCCCTTCCTGGCGAGCGGTAACTTTAGGGCGGCAGGGACGCGCTGGGACGCGGGGCCAAGCCCTCTCCTTCCTTAGGACCTTGTGGTCCGTACCCCAGGGGGGCGCGCCCACCCGGTCAGGCCCGAGCGGTGAAGAGACACACCCTTGTTGGATTGCCAGCTAATTTGCACCGGGAACGCCCAAGCCCGGTCCTTTGGTTCCTGAGCCAGACGGGGCCAAGGAGGTGCCTCGGACCGAGCTGGGGCCTGCTGGTGGGTGAGATCCGTTGGAGAGGTGGACAGAGAACTTTGCTGACTGATCTTGCCTCTTTGCCCCCAGAGCATCAGCATATCCGCTACAACCCGCTGCAGGATGAGTGGGTGCTGGTGTCAGCTCACCGCATGAAGCGACCCTGGCAGGGGCAGGTAGAGCCCTCGCTTCTGGAGACAGTGCCCCGCCATGACCCCCGCAACCCTCTGTGTCCGGGGGCCACACGGGCCAATGGGGAGGTAAGCCTTTGGCGCCTACCTCTGCAGGCTGGGCCAGGGGAAGTGCTCCCACCTAGAGCTGGCCCTCACCCAGAGGGTAGTGGACTTCCTTCTGGGTCATATCTCATCAAGTCT